TTTCCAAAAATCCTCCGAACCAACGCATGCCGGGCCCTGGCCCTAACAATAAGAGCAGATGGTGCCTTTAGAAATTGTTTAAAGGATCTAAAAGCTCTGCTATAAGAAAGAATAAGTCACTCTGGATATAACCATTGCACTCAGCGAGTGGTGTAAAATCTCACACCAAAAAACTAAGTGAATCTGCAAATTATGGAAACGAAGCTACTCTCCAGGGGTAGCAGGAGATATGGTTATATCCAGAGTGACTTCTACAAATAGAGAGAAGCAGGTAACTCGTCTTGCACTTCAACTAGAACCAGCACTAGGATAACAAAAGCTTTACAGGCAAAAAATTTATAGAGATCAAATCTGCAATGAAATATGAAGAGGTGATGTTGCTCATTTCTTAAGCGGAGCTCGAGCAACACCCTCTTGTACAGCTGTCATCAGCAATTCTCCGGCTCGGCTCCATAGTCTTGCTATGGTGTGAGTACGCGACCCTCCTGCAAAGCCAATTCTTCAAACAATATTCATCCTTCGGAGTTTTGGATTTTTCGGTCCTCACATACCATTTCGGCTACTTATTTTTCAAGCAAAGTCACCAAGTATTAAAATATACTCATGAAAAATATACCGTAACTAAAAAGTCGTGCCTACCTGCAAAGTCACTTTTTTGTTCCCATAACATCCAATCATTCATGTTAAATTTTGTCCTATGGAACCAGATACAGTGATCCAAAGAAAAAGCCTGAAGGGATTAGCTTCAAACTAACTTGATGCCAGTTCAAAAATCAGCATACCATTCCTACAACAAATCCCTGAGCTAGATGAGGTATGATGGCCGTTTCAACCATAGTAGAATCGGATATATAAGCAGCCATATATTGATGAGATAATTTATCGTCACCTTATATTGAAAAATTGTTTAAAATTTAGGTTTGTGAGAAAATAACATTCCTTACCTATGTTGAGCACTGGTTTAATCCACATATCGTAAGTAGTACTGTGTAAGGGCCCGTTTAAGTCAGGTTTATAGACATTTTGGTTAACGGGCCGAGCCTAAAAAATTGATTTCCAGCGCTGCTGTTTTCTGTGGTACTAATTTGAATTTTTGAAGTGTCCACAAATGTAATGCTAACTAAAAGATCGTAACTATTTTTTATCTTCAGTTTACCTCGAAGATCCTATGAAATGTAGGAGGGAATTCAGCAAGCTTATAGGCCATGAATAATTGAGCAGGCGTGAGTTTGTCATTCTGGGCCTCCTTGAGAGACTTGCTCATCAACGTCCTAGCATCTAAAAGTCCATCAGGACCTTCAGGTAATCTAACTTTGGTCTGATGCTCCATATGGCTAGACTCTTCGTGCTAAAAACGTTCTTTGGATTGCTATTCTGTGTTCGAATAAAGCAGAAGCATAGAACCTGAAATGATGCTTGAGCGGTGAACAAAATGTCATCATTCTGTTTCGCCCTCACTAGACGCGTTGAAAAGCTCTTTCCATCACGAATCCTTTCGACGTGGTAATCAACGGGTTCAAGAACAGAGCCTTAAGTAAACAGTTTAAGAAATACATGGATTGTCCGTCTTCAACATAAAGATCTTCAATATCTAATTTAGCCAGATGCACGCTCTAACAGAAAAAAAAAACAAAGAAAAGTGAGATTCAGCGAAATTTAGGATTTCTAGAGCAAAAGTTCACCTTCTGTCTTTGCTCTTAGCATTGGAAATCTTCACAATTCATTAATATTGCTAATACCGATAGAGGAATCAAGCTGATTTAAGTGCACTCGCGATGAGAGGATGGTGGCTTGAATATTTTCTTCATAACTAAATTCTCTCAAAAAACGATTACACGGTCTTGCAGATTTTGCGATGACAACAATATTTGCGCGAGAAAAAATGGATCCGAATGCCGGCCATTTGCCTGCGACTTGCGCGCAGAATTTTGCCATTGCGCGGACACTGCGCGCTCACGAAATGTTGTAAGCGACGGAAAAGCACCACATTTGCAACCGGATCTACTAGGCTACAATTACTATCCTCCCTTTCAGACCAGAAAGCTCAAGACCTCTACTGATATAGTGATTGTGCTGTAATTCGAAAAATCTGATAAAACATGAGATTACCTGCCTTCACGAAGTAGCAATGCATCGAATGCGGAGATAAGGATGTGTCGACAGTCTCAGTTGCGGATTTGAGTGCTTGTGCAACAACCTAACTAAGAATGCAGTACTTATAGACAATGCTGATTGGAAAAGCAACAGAAGTGCTAACCTGACCACCATAAATATGAGGGAAAGACTTTCGCCCGCGTAGTAGATGTTTTGATCTTAAATTGTGTTCTATAAAAAACTAATTTGTATACGTTGTATCGAGTACCTGAAGGTATCATTTTCCTTTCGCTCTAATTTCAAGAAGCAATCGAGCAGAAGTTGAGGCAAATCTGGACCATCCTGATCCAGGAGACGGGCATTCTCCGCCGTTGTGCTACAGGCTCGTATTGCTGACAGGATCCATGCGTTCCCCTTTAGCGCCGTACATAGGGACATCAGATATTTCACACGATATGCTGAACACACTTATCAGAGAGCAGATACTATGTCCATGGATTTTACAACAAGGTCAAGGACGAAGGAACTTTTAACCTCTATAAATTATAACTGGGTACTACTACTGTAGCAATCAAGATCAGAACAAGAAAAGTGAGACCAGGACGTTCAAAACTCCAAGATGAGCCAAAAAGCTTCAGCTGTATCGGTCAACGATAAAAATCATATAAAAGCATCAAGATCCGGACCGAAAAGCTTTTTTTTATGAATCGGTAATGGATACAACAGCCTTGTTCTACATTCGCTAACGATACATTCAAGTTGCAGAAAGTAAGGAAGGGAGAGTGCAAATTTTTGGAAGTGGTACATGCTCATGCTAATACGGGTGTATATGCTATAAAAGCATAACAACTCAAGTATACTAAAAAAAAGCATGCGACAGCGTTTCTGAAAACGATTACTTTTCAAAACTTCAATCAAGTATTACGAAACCGACAAAAACTTCGGTGATCAAGATAATTGATGGAATCAGTTTCATTGCGCCAAAAAATTCTCTTTGTTTTTAGGAGTGCACCAAGTGCACAAAAACCCAATGATTTTCCAGCTGGAAAATATTTGTAAATTGCAACAATCGCTACTTACACTGATGTTGTCGAAAGAATTTTCGACAAAAACTACAAAGAAAGCTAAGGGATTGGAATAGATACAAAATTGTGGTTGCAACGAGTTTCACGAACGATCAAGAAGATGAAATAAAAGATGAACATAGCCTGGAAATTTCTTCGCTTGGGTTTATCTCCATGGTTGAGAAAAAGATGATATTTTACGTATTTGAGAAAAACTATATCACGAAATACTGATGAATAGTTTGAGAACAAAATTGTGAATCCCTCTCCCTCCCCGCAAAAAAGGAGCATGAATATATAGTGCACTAATCATATCAAACATCGAGAAAGAGTACTGCAAGCACTAGGATAGGCAAGAAAAGTCATGAAGAGTAATACAAAGTCTTGAGTAATGGAAAAACTGCAATAGAAAAAGAGTAGAAATTAGCTGACTGTGCAGTCGGTGCTCAATTTTACATCATTAGACACACGAAAAAAAGGAGAAAAAGGTGTAGCTGGGGACAAAAAATTTGACACAAAAAAAAACAAAGGACAGCATGATAAACAGACAAACGCATCAAAAACATTTAAAGCATGCATTTAGCGCACACAAAAGTAACATTTGAAAACTGATCAACTCAAATTTTTCTAGGT